TAAAAATTAGCAGGGCAAGCCAAACACTGCATGTTCTTACTTAGAAGTGGGAGCTGAACAATGAGATCAAATGGACACAGGGAGGGGAACAATACGACTGGAGCCTGCTGGGGGTGGAACGGTGGGAGGGAAAAGATAGCTAATACGCGCTGGGCTTACTACCCTGGTGATGGGTTGATAGGTGCAGGAAGCCACCACGGCACATGTTTACCTATGTAACAAACTTGCACATCCTGTACATGCACTCCGGAACTTTAAAAAAGTGATTGTTTAAAAAAATGACGCATCATTGTAATAAGTGAAGAATAATTTGTCATAGTATGCAGCATGTTCAGTTGGTGACATATATATCCACGACATAGTGTATCTGTGGACACTGTTGGTTTGCCATCCATCAGTCAACCTCCACAGTCTACCTTCTTCCTTGCTTACCAAATGGTTGATATGCTTAAGTTTAAGGAGGCTCCTAGGTAATAATCTTGATCAGTTTAGCCAGTCTGGGTAATTCTATTTCTCTTACCTGTGCCCTGTAACATTTTGGTAAACAACAGACCACATATGCGACAGTGGTGTCATAAAAATATAATAGGGTGTGGTGGCTCACGCCTGTAATCCCAGCACTTCGGGAGGCTGCGACGGGTGGATCACGAGGTCAGGAGTTTGAGACCAGCCTGGCCAATATGGTGAAACCTCATCTCTACTAAAAATGCAAAAGCTGACGGGACACGGTGGCTCACACCTGTAATCCCAGCACTTTGGGAGGTGGAGGTGGGCGGATCACCTGGGGTCAGGAGTTCAAGACCAGCCTGGCCAACACGGAGAAACTCCATCTCTACTCAAAATACAAAATTAGCTGGGCGTGGCGGCGCATGCCTGTAATCCCAGCTACACTGGAGGCTGAGGCAAGAGAATCACTTGAACCTGGGAGGCGGAGGTTTCAGCGAGCTGAGATTGTGCCATTGCACTCCAGCCTGGGCAACAAGAGTGAAACTTCGTCTCAGTAGAAAAAAGGAAAAAAAAAAAAAAAAAGTTAGCCGTGTGTGGTGGCGCGCACCTCTAGTGCGCATATGTAGTCCCAGCTACTCAAGAGGCTGAGGCAGAAGAATTGCTTGAACTCGGGACGTGGAGGTTGCAGTAAGCCGAGATCATGCCACTGCACTCCAGCCTGGGCAAGAGAGAGAGAGTCTGTCTCAAAATAATAATAATCATAATATAATAGAGCTGAAAAGTTCCCATCGTCTAGTAACTTGTTGATGACCCTGACCCTGTGCAGGCCTAGGCTAATGTGTGTGTCTGTGTCTTAGTTTTTAACAAAAAAGGCTGGCTGGGCATGGTGGCTCACGCCTATAATCTCTGCCCTTTGGTTCATGTCTGTGATCCCAGCTACTTGGGAGGCTGAGGTAGGAGGGCTGCTTGAGCCCGGGAGGTTGAAGCTGCAGTGAGCTGTGATCAGGCCACTGCACTCCAGCCTGCAACCCCAGCACTTTAAGAGGCCAAGGTGGGAAGATTGCTTGAGCCCAGGAGTTCAAGACCAGCCTGGGCAACACCATTTCTGCAAAAAATAAAAAAAAAAAATTAGCCAGGTATGGTGGTGCATGTCTGTGGTCCCAGATGCTTGGGAGGCTGAGATGGGAGCATTGCTTGAGTCTGAGTTGAGGCTGCAATAAGCAATGATCACGCCACTGCACCCCAGCCTGGGCAAGAGAGCAAGACCTTGTCTTTCAAAATAAAATAAAGAAGAAAAAGTACAATATAGAAAATTCCTTTTCCATTTCTGGACATTAGAACAAGAAGCTGCCATCTAGCCTAGTGTGGTGGCCCACCCCTGTAATGCCAGCACTTTGGGAGGCCAAGGTGGGTGATCATCGAGGTCAGGAGTTCAAGACCAGCCTGGTCAACATGATGAAACCCTGTCTCTACTAAAAATACAAAAATTAGCCGGGCGTGGTGGCTCACACCTGTAATCCCAGCACTTTGGGAAGCCGAGGCGGGTGGCTCACGAGGTCAAGAGATCGAGACCATCCTGGCCAACATAGAGAAACCCCGTCTCCACTAAAATACAAAAATTAGCTGGGAGTGGTGGTGCGGGCCTATAGTCCCAGCTACTAGGGAGGCTGAGGCAGGAAAATTGCTTGAACCTGGTAGGCGGAGTTTGCAGTGAGCAGAAATCACACCTCTGCACTCCAACCTGGCCCTGACAACAGAGTAAGATTCTGTCTCAAAAAAA